AGATGAGTGAGAATTCAGATACGCCCCTGTCTGTAGAATTTCCTTTTGGCTATCTCTAGACCCATGGTTGGTTCTCAATCTTTTTAGACTTGAGCCACCCTGGATAGACTTGAGCACTACTCTGAAAATGCCAACTCTTAGTTTTTACTCTTTCTGTATGCAAAAAATATATATATTGGAGTTTTTCTATTGCACAGAACTTGGAAAGACCACAGTTATGGATTTCTGTTTGAAATGTCTGGGTTATCTTGTGAATCATGTTTTTAAACTTAACAGTGCTGACACTGTGTGGTACCCTTTGTCACCCTTGAAAGGATCTCACAGTGCTGTGGCCCCCTGGTTGAGAATCAGTGCTCTAGATGGGTCTGGGCACTCCGAAACACCCTCTGGGGGCACCTATCTCACCTTATGTTAAGTATAGAGAGCCTTGGTGCCTAGCTCTGAATCGTGTTTCAGAGGTACTGAAATCTCCCCACTGACTGCATAGGGATTGTAGGCACCTAGCACTTTCCTACTGAGATTTCCATCCTGGGACAGGACCTAAGTGGAGGTGCATACATGAGAAAAATAGAACTAGGCTAAAGTCCGTGAGACACAGGGTGCATATCCTACTCTGTGTTTGTACAGTGCCTGACTGGGATCTAGGCACTACTGTCATGCTATATATATATATTTTGAATTTGGGTTTGCTGTGGTCCTTATTTTTTAGCTGAATCCCTGTAATTACAGTGGCTAGATGCTCTGCAGAATAGTGTTTCTCAAAATGAGTACATTAAGAAACCCCAGAGACTTCAGTAGAAGGCTCAGATAGGCAAAGATGGAGCCCCGGTGGGTTAAACCTCATCTCTTGGCCATCTAAAGAGAGGATTTTACCAAACACGAAGGGAAATGTTGAAGCTCAGCCCTGCTCTTTGAATAGATTGAGTCAGCAGCTGGGATCCCTGTACCAGGAAGTGCATTGAGTTGTTTGATCCCCTCCCCCACTAGATGGCACTGAACTCTTTTTCTTTCGAAGGAAAAAAATAGGAGGAAGAAGAAAAGGAAAAATATGGTGGAGGTCATTTTGATTTGAAAAAAATGAAGAAAAGCAAATTACAAATGATTTCTCCAAGAAACTCTTCCCGTCCACCCCTCCAGGCTCCAGTCCGCCCTCACAACCAAATGCCTGCACCCATTCTCTCTCTCACTGCCTTTGTTTGAAGCTTTCTGAAAAGGCATTAGGCTGTTGTGGCTGAAGGGTGCTAAGGAGAGCTGAAACAATCCTGCAAGGAAAGGGAGAATAGACTGTCATTATCCTGGAGATAACATCTGTGGTGAGGTCTAACAGGCAATACAGTCAGCTTGTCACAATGAATTTGTTCTGAATGGGATCCTTGGACTCTGTTTCTCTGCCCCATGCCTTCAGACATGTTCTCACTGCACCTATGTCCTATCTTGCTTCATACATCATAGGAAATAGAGTCTGCAGATAGAAATGCTTCAGCTCTTGTTGAGATCATTTACTGAAATTGCATATTTGTATTTAAATTTATTAAAACTCATATTTATTAACTCTTCTCAAGGCATACTTAATTTATTGGAGAGATGTAGCATCCAATGTGCATGTATACTTTTCTCTGTATATCTTTCTCTCCGCTTGCATTCATCAGAGGATCCACAGTGATTGTTTTTTCTGTGGCGTGGCGGGGGTGGGGTAGGAGGAAGAGAATTTAATAATGATCTGTTTGTGCTGAGATGGGGCTGCCTACAATAATCCTGAGAGGAGACAGAGAAAATGTTTGTAATGTCTGCAACAAGCAGTATTTTGCCCCTTCTGTAAAGAACGAGGCGGTGGTGATAATGGGGGGAAAAAGGCTTAATTCTGAGAGTTAAATTGAGGCTAATCTGAAATCCAGCATTTCCTGATGCATTTATATATTAAAAGCGACTTGAGGGAGGATATAGATAGTGCTACAAATACAAGCAAAAATTGCACAGAGACTGCCACCAACATGCCTTTTCAGGGAAAAAGATAAAACCTGGTTTTACGTACCAGTGTTTGGCCTCGAGCCCCAAACTGTGAAACAAAAAAGGAAACAAAAGTAGCTACTTTAACTGCAAAAAAAAAAAAAAAAAATCCAGCCTCTATCCTAGAGCATGCCTTCCATACACATTCACATCTGATACCTGGATGTTGATAGGTGCCTTCCCCCCCATTTCTGTTGTCTAAATAGAAAATGAATTCTCAACTAGATTATTCCAGTGGCTCTAGTGCATTTGTGCCTGGTACTAGTGGAATATGAGATCTGATATCTGGATTCTGCTGATTTTTGGCCCCACTCTTCATAATTCTACTTTTGAGAGAGAGAAAAATGAAGTAGGTTCTAACGCCCTACCAAATTCAGGACCTTTTCCCAAGTGGGAAAAGGAACCAACAAAATATGCATTTAGCACCTAGATTCTGCTGTATTTTTATTCCAAGCCCTAAATTCCTACCTGCAGCTGGAATTGCTTCAACTGTACTGTAATAACCCAGACCTCTGTGTGTTTGCTCAGTAGCATGTCCATTATTATATGTCGTCTTGGGGATCCTACCATTTTATTTATTTATTGCCCCATCCAAATGTCTTCTACTATCAATAGAGACCTACCGAATTCATGGTGGACATGGCTGTGGCTCCTTTAATTTTGCATGTTCCCCTGCACCCTCCCCACACTGATTAGCAGAGGGGCCCCATGTGCGGCTTGCTCCTGATTAGCGGGGAGGCAAAAACTGTGGTTTTAAATATGGCGCTGGTTTTACTCCCCCCACTGATTGGCCAAGGGGCCCCTGGTGGCCCTGCTGTTTGCTGCTGATTGTTGGGGAGGCAAAAACGGTGCCATGTTTAAAACCACAGTTTTAGCTTCTCTGCTGATTGGGAGGGAGTGTCAGGGTCCTCCACTAATCAGCCGGGGGGGGGGCGGGGGCGGAAGGAGCGAGGTGTGCATGGGGGAACACGCAAGATTAAAAGACTGTACTTTTGCCATGAATTCGGTCCCTAACTGTCATAATAGGTAACATGTAGCCACTTCTGTTTGCCCAGAGAAACCCAGGCTCTGACGCATTCACACCTAAGGCAGATTTGATGCAAAAGTTATACTGGATCCAGAAAACTTTTGTCCATGAATCTCTAAAGTCTGCTCAGAGTAAGGCCAGGGGTAGGTTCTCCTAATCCATTATAACCACCTGGTTCCAAGTGTGTTTTGGAATCCCAAAAAAGCATGGGTTCTACTACCAAGGTTTCCAACTGGCAGACTGCATGTGGCCAGCAAGTGGTTAAGTTATGGATCAGAGCCAGCTGCTACTTCCCCTTCCTCCTTCTCATTGTGCTGCCTCAGTGGCTTGTGTGGCACAGTGTGAGGCCCTTGGGGTGAAGCCGGGGCCATGTGGTGCAGCAGTGTATTGCAATGGGGGAAGAACAGGGTGCAGGCATGCAGGGCAATGGGTAGCCTGTCTATACAGCATGTGGCCCAGTGACCCATGAGCCCCACTAGTGCGACCCCAAGCATGAATATCGCATGCCCCCAAAGGTTGGGGTAGCATGGCAAGCTTCCGCAGGCAGTGGCAGTGCTGTCAGCAGTGGGAACATGGTGGCAGGCGACCACCTGCAGATGCTGCCAGCAGCGTCGGCAGCAGCCAGCGGCGATTGCAGACTGCCTGTAGACACTGCCAGCAGGGGGTGGTGAGTGGCAACCACTGCTGGCGTTGCCTTTTCTCAGGGGACGCACCACCATGCTCAGGGGGTGCATGTGCACCCACGTGCACCCCCTACACGTTCACCAATGACCCCAAGCCACTTAAAAGTTGGATAGCCCTTGTTTAAACCATGGCATAAATTGACTGAAACATAACCAAAAATAATTTAGGGTAGCCAACATATATTTAAGTTTATGTGTTTAAATTTGCTGAACTGTTCTGAAACTCTAAGTGCATTGGAGCATGGATTTGTCTGGTTAAGTAGACAAATCCTGGCCTACCGTCTGCCTGACATCAGACTAACATGGTTAGCCACCTCTGGTAAAGTAGGAGAAACACAAATACTGCCTGATTTAATAGTACAGTGTGGTTTAGTGTGGGGCCAAAAACTTTTAGGACCCAGCACTATTTTTATGAAGCAGCTGAAGTGTTTGGCAAGAGGATCTGGTTATTTTGGTGGACTAGGAGCTGTGACTTTTTTTCTCTCTTTATGTCAAGGGTTGAATTTGAGTTTGAGTGGTTGGGGTTAAACACTGGTGGGTCATAGGCACCCAATCTATTTGTTTTCAGTGCTCTTGGGCAATTGGATTCTCAGTCCTTCTAGGTAAGGGTGGCTGCACTTGTTTTCTCTTTAGATTATACAATATGGGTTGTGGGGGCCAAGAGTTCCAAGGATCCATGTGGATCCAAAATTTAGCAGTGCTTGTGCTCTTAGTTGTATCTGGGTCTGGATTTTTGGTGCAGTAGGAGTGTCTATACTTGTTTTATATTCATGTCATGAAATGTGTTGGGTCAGGGCCAAAAATTGGATGGAGCTTACTGGATCCATATGCCAGATCCTGGATTTTGTGATGTTCGTGTTCTAAGATATCCCATGGTCCAAAATGATTTGATGCAGTAGAAGTGACCATACTTTACTTTTCCTTTTGAACATAACAATTTGAATGCATAGAGGCCAAAAGTTGATGCTCCCACAGAATTCAGGTGCTGTTTTTTGTTTGTTTGTTCTTTTGTTTTATTTGGGGGGGGGGTTGTGACACTTATGCCCTGAGAGATATCAGAGGTCAGACTTTTTAGTGCAGTAGGAAACAGCTACACTTGTTTTGTATTTTGGTGATGAGATTTGGGGGCATGGAGTAACAGTCTTCAGGATCCATAAGGATTCAGGTAGATCCAGGTTTTACCTGTTTCCCCTTTTAAGAAAGTAAGACTTAGACATTTCCTGTCTGTGAAGTGGTGCAGTTTATCTTTAAGGAGGCTAGAGAAATAAGAAATGAGTCTCACGTTGCATGGGTGACATCACTGGCTTTTGGCTCAGTGCTCTGTATTCTGTGTCTGTAGGCTTTAGCCAAGGCTGCAGGGCTCAGTGTTTGAACAAGGAAAGATTCCCTGGTGTACAGAAGGTTGGATTCATTCTTATTTGGGTTAAAAACGGTGAAATGAGATTTCTAAAGCTCGTGGACTCCAGCTTCCTTTCTGTTTCACCTGACCTCTGCAAGATGGGTGAGTTATTCCCGTTAGAGAGACAGGGCATGGAAATTTAAGAAAAAAAATGTCTGAATATATATCTGCTGATGCTGGGGATATGAATTGCATGAAACTGCTGAGCTAGAGATCTTGGCTTCTATGTGGAGATCAGGCCATATGTCAGAGAAATGGTGCAGACTGAAAGCTGTTGACAACTGTTAGAGGCTGTTCCCCCTCCCCTATTAGATTGGTTGGGGGGTTTTTTCCCCCCACCCCTTACCATCCTTTTAATCAGCTGTAGCCCTGCCTGCTTGCCTTCATTTTGCAGATGGGAAATGTGCCTGTGTGGCTAAGAGAGCCTCGCCTGAGAAACTGAAGCTGTGGTGAAAAAGGAAGCTTTGCAATAACAGAAGGGAGGAAAAAAGCCACACAAAGATGCTGTGCTCTAGGACTGCTTTATTTGCTGCCTAACTGGCACAGGCTCAATCCATGGTGGTGAATCCTGCATCTCCTCCAACCCCCACTCTCCAGCTGCCTCACACTCCTACTGAGGACCAGAGAGGTTGCTGCGTTACTTTAGATGAGAGAGCAGAACCGCTGTTCTGTTAGTAATTTGGTACACTTGAGCTTTAGCAAGTCAAGGAAAGAAATTGTTAGCATTAGGTTGCCTTGATGACAGCAGAGACAACAAAACAAACCTTGCGAGCAGCACAGCTGGGAGAGAAGGAGAAGTGATCTTGAAACAAAGATGTCATTTGCTGCAAATCTCCACCAAGTCTGCTTAATGGAAAGGCCCCCGCAAGCCTGAATTTCTTATTAGACCGGGAAAGATTTTTTTTTTTTTTTAAACCCAGGATTGAAATTAAAGCATCCACCACCCATTTTTCCTCTCGACCCTGCTTTCAAACAAACCAGCTGACCAGATGGTGTTCTTTCTGAGCTACTGACAAAGAAAAGGCAAATCATGGATTTTTGAAATCAGGATAATTGGCTGCTTGAAATCAGAAGATTTCTGGCCACCGAACTGTCCCCTTCTGTCCTGTGCTCCTGTGATGTGATAGTTAACCTGATGATATTAAAGCCATCCTTCTCTGAGCTAGCCAGATCGAATGGACTGAATGCACAGCCATAGCCTTCAAATCACTTCAAGTGACTATTCCCCAACCACAGTTAACTTTTGTGTGCATGCACAGGGGCAGACACCTCTGTAGGTGATTCACTGGGCTCCCAGCTGTTTTACTGTAGCCCGGTATCCTCCTTGCATGCCCTGCACTGAAAGACTTGAACCTCAAGAGAGACACATGAGGGCCCAGGACTCTCTCCAGGGCAGAACTTTTTTGAGCTTTTAGTGTCTTCAGCCACTTGGATGTGAACCACAGTTGTTGACGTTTAAGGTGGACTCTGTCCAGTGACATCCTGCAGCTGCTCCTGGAGGATTTGTGTGGTCTCCCATTGAAGGGCTTTCCCTTTTGTGAAGATGTCCATGGTGTTTCTGTGAAGCTGAGGTATGGCTGCTGGAAGGTTGCTGCTCTATGCTGGCCTCTCTTTAGCTTTGTGTGCCCTGGGCATGCTGGCTGTGGCAATCTGCTCTGACCACTGGTATGAAACTGATGCCAGGAAGCACAGGGAGAGGTGCAAAACCATCACTACTAAGAGAAATGACCCTGGCTTCATTTATAACTCCAACAATAACCTGCCTCTCAGGGCCAGCAGGTCTAGGTTGGACCGCTGGGAAGGGAAACTCCTCTTGGCAAGAAACAGGAGGCAGCTCTTTGCTATGAGTGCAGCTGATGAGTGCAACAGACAGTATAACTCGACAAACATGGGGCTCTGGAGAAAATGCCACCGACAAGGATTTGACCAAGAACTGGAGGAGCTGATTGCTAAAGGTAAGGGCCATTTTTCCAAATAAAGCTGTTTTAAGTTGCAGAACCTTACTGAGCCATATGGTCCAGCCTCACAGCAAACACTCCGATCTGTTGACCTCTCCTGTTAATGAGGTTTTCAGAGCTTCAGGTATCTTATCTCACAAACCCTTGGGATAACTGTTTATTGTAGGTTGTCCAGTTCTCCACTGCTGAGTTTTGGAAAAGGGGGAAAATTCAGAATGCCTTGGTTAAATTGATACAGGGAAGGTCCTTCTATCTGGCTAAAACTTTTTTAAGACTGTCCACCACCATTGTATTTGAGTGCCTTCCACATAAACTAAACGATAGTTTCCAAACTAGAACATTCATAGTCTGACCCTGTTGACTCAGCTCAGCTTTTTGTTCTTTTTCTTTTATCCTAGACTGTACAGTGTATTTTATTATTCCTGATCACCAAATCAGCTCCAAAAGGATATATTGGTCCCAAATCACACAGCTTACATTAAGCACACAGACCTCTTCTAGCCATAGAAGGGGAGTAAACAAAGGGAAAAGCCAGAGAGAGAGAGAGAACACAGCTTGTGTTTTATTCAGATTTCAGAATATTTTCAAGTTGTAAAAATTTTAAATTGATTTAACCAAGAGCTAAAAAATAATCTAAAAAAAAATGTTTTTCCTTTGTAGAAGGAGATGCCAGTAGCATCATTGTGCTATTTTTTCTTTCAGGAACTGGTTAACTATGGTCAGCCAGTTTGCCTCAAACATTTCTTTGATCCAAAGTGCAGCATGAGCAACTATTGGTTAAGCATCCTCTCTGTGTCCTGTGAAAAATATTTATTTTTTAAAGATGATTAGGGTTCCAGTTCAGGATTACAGCATCCTTACTGCCTGTACTATGTTATCCCCATAGAATAAAACAGCAACCGTTCCCTTCTCCCACACAGGGATGTTATGCTGCTTTCAGAGAATCATTGAGGAATGTATTTTCACAACAATAAATGGATTGTTTCTTGTACTATAAATATTTTTTTTAAATACTTGGTTTTTAAAAATATATTCATTATCCTCCCCCCCACTCCCTCCCTCCCCCCCTCTGTTTTTTGTTTTTTTTTTTGCCTGTTCTCTTCCCCTTCTATGGCATTGTATGCAGAAATTTTGGACGGAGCTATTTACATGTGCAGTAACATGTTACATTAATCAATATATTTAGTCCGTTTTATTTTAAAAGTAAATTGCAAAGGCTAATAACATTTGCATTTTTAAAGCGTAAGCATATGTGTAATGGAATTTGGAGATTATCACTTTAGGATTATCAGTTCAAATCCAGTTTAGTTTGTTATGGACCAAAAGTCATTAGTGTCTGGTTGCTGATTAATGGCTTATATAAAATGAATTGGTGGCTTCAGTCCAATTTGCAATGGACAGGTGACCACATCCAAGACCTATCATCACATTGACACCCTGACTGGCAGTCATAGCAGTCAGGCCAAAGATTAATGTAATTCCTCCAAGTTAAGGTTCAGGAATACTGGTGTGGCAGTGCTGGGGTTGCTCATACCCTGGCTTGTATTGTGCCTGGGAAATGGATAAACAAAGAATTTCAGTCTCTGGGATGACAATCCAGCATGTTTTGCTAATGCTAATACTATTTAAAATAGAGTCTAAAATACTGGACACGTATTTCATTTTTATAACAACATATGTGAAAATCAGTTCTTCCTTCACTTGCTTCCTGCAGCCTGAGTTAAGGAATCTGTACTTCCCCTGCTAGAGCTCTTGAAATCATTTAACGCTTAAATCAATATGGGAACTACTGCTTTAGGTGTTAGTGAAGGCAGGAAAAAAGAAAGATCTTGAACTCAGGCACAGAAATGCAGGGGAACTGATTTTCAGAAGCTCCACTTTTGTATGTCTGTATATTCAGTTGAGTCTATGCATACAGAGGCAGATTTTCAAATGAAGGCAGGTGTCTAATTTATGGACTCAGGTACAAAATACATGCCTGCAGATTGGATTGCATACCCATGGTCAGTTAGGCAATTGTTAGCACTTGTGCAGTTATCAAAAGCATGCATGCATTTTGGGTATTTATGCATATAGGTGAAGCCTGCACAATTGTATCCCTGCGACTGTTTGCTGATAGGGTTCTAAATCCGGTCCATATGGTATTTAAAACTGAGTGTTTAAGCAGTATTTTATTTGTCTCAAAGCTTTGCAGTATGCATTTAACTTTTTTCTTTGCGTGTAAAAGGGGGAATTTAAAAGAAGGAGGCCACTTTAAGTCAAATGTCAATATTACAGTGAAAATAGGGATTGCTTTGAATGACTATATATCTTTATAACATCTCTGAATCATTATGAAAAGTATTCTATTTTCTTTAAAACTTGGTATTTTTGAAAATTAAAACAGAAGAATGAAGATTACAAGAATTCAACAATCCAAAGCTTTAGCTTACTCGAAAATAAATCCTGAACCATCATATTATAGGATTGACAGTCATTTTATTTAAACAGTTAGATACTTAAAATATCAAAGAGAATGAAAGGATTTTTCTCCTGTTTAGGAAAAAAGTAATATAAAAAACCCATTAAAAAAATCTTTGTATCCTGCAATCAGTGAAAAAGGAATTTAGTATATATACCAGTATATGTGTTGAAGCACCCCATACCCTTGTAAGGGAACTGAAATAAATAATGTCCCTGTTTCATATTCTAAGCACAGATGTTACAGCATTTGTCTAAGCTCCACTATCAGTTTATGAAAATAGAGTATTTTTTCCATTGCTGTCAGGTTGAGAGAACAGTGTTTGGTCCTGATGTGAGGCACATATGCTTAGCTCCGTCCAGATATATTCACACTCCTTGTTTGATTCTGCTTCCATTGCTGATGTGTATCTAGCAGCAACAACTTAAGCAGGGGTTAGGCAAAGCATGCCATGTGTAAACATGAAGGGTTATGAATGACCTTGCCATGCCTGTACCATTGAGGATACAAGCAGATATCACGCATCTCAGGAGAAACTGTTTTCTTTCAAGACAAAGTGCGGTAGTCCAGATGCCCACGTCTGTCCTGGTACAAACCCTAAAAAAGTTCATGTTATGAAAAGTGCTAATAGTTTGTCCTGGGACATTGTGAAGTGTGTCTCAGTGGTTGTCCCAGCGTTGCATCATTGAATTGATGGCAGAGAAGTGGCAGGTCATTCAGCTGTTCCCTAAACCCTAATTGAGAGGGTATTGTGTATGCACACCAATCCTGGGCCTGTTTTATTTCAGGAGAAACACAGGCATAACTGGTTCCAGGACCAATAAAATGTTTGCTTTTAGCCTCAGATAGAAAAGTAGGGTACAAGTGTTACGATAGATGAAATTCCCATCTGTGCAGAGGGAAAGCATGTAATTAGCACAATTTAACACTTCCCTTAGTGCATAAGGCTTTGTCCCTCTGTCAAATGTGAATTTCATCTAGTGTGCATATTGATGAACTGCATAAATCAATGCAGGCCCTAGCCCCAAATATTGGCTGCTATATATTATTACAGTACTGTGCGATTATTACAGTACTATATGCAAATGCTATTAAGAGTTCTTTTGAAAGGTGGAGAGGATCTTTTATAATCTACTTATTTTTTAACAAACCATGCATCATTTCCCAGAAAAAAAACTTCCAGTACTGAAAATAGTAGTTTTACTTGAAGTCTGTAGGATGTAGCCCATAATTAGCAGGGCATTAAGAATGTCTCCCACTTTTGAAAATATCTTGAAGTTGTTTTGATTGTAGAACTGCTGCTGAACTTGATTAGAGGTGGAAGTGCAGGTCAGTTGCAGGGTTTGGTCTTTATGAAGGACTGAAACATTAGGACACTGATGGTTTTACAAGCCAAGGCTGTTCAGAAAATTCTAGATCCGGTCTCTGTTTCTGCTCTTTATTTGTTATTTTTGCTTTTTACAAGTATATCAAGATCTTGTGTATAGTTTTGTCATGACTGAAAACATGCTACCTCCATTTTCTTATCAAAAGGCAGTGATTTTAATGCATAAAAGTTATACCACGCTTTTTTTTTCTCCCCTTTATTTTTATATATTCCCACTGATCCATCTGGAAGATTTTGAAATAATACCGCTAGATTGGTATACAGTGAATTGAAACATACTAGTATTTCCGCAATTAAACTTACACAAAAAGAAACTGACGAATAAATGTGACAGACAAAAGGCCTCCAAACAAAACTGGGCAATTAAAATATTCTCTTTAAGGCAAGGATTTCTTAGGGTGATAACTTTTAGTGGACCAGCTATGTAGGTGGGATAAACCTTTGCCTTGCATATTTTGTGGACCATCATGGCTACATCACTCTTTATTCTCTTTCTCATTAATGTCAATGAAAAAAATAAGGAAGACAACAGAAAATATGGCTAAGAAGAACATTATTACATGCAAGTGAACAAACATAGGGGCCAAGTCTTGTTAACTTTAACTCACCTGTGTAATCTTTATTCATATGATGGGTTGAGGGTACTCAGTAAAGATCACTTACTGGAGTAAGAACTTGAAGACGGGCCAATTGTCTCTGGGTGCAATTAAACTTATCCTCTTCACTGTGGTCAGGGCTTTCTTTTGATCTTGAAAGCCCTTCAGGAGCCTTTGTGGAAAGTAGCTTAACAAGCTAGGCTTCCTCCAGCCCTATGGTGGCTGTGTACTCTTCCAAATTAATTTTACAGCACTGGTGAATTCTAGGTTCACAGTGAGCACAGCACTAATGTTCCACCCTTCAGCAATGATTCCCTAGAGGAAACAGAAAAACAAGCTGGCAAGCAAAAACCCACAATGTAGATAATTGTCAGTTCAGTGCAGTAAGTGGTAAGGAAAAGGAGGCATTTACTTCTTGCCTCTGCATTCATCAGCTGACAATCTCTTGTGTTTGACTCAAAATACCTGAAAAGAAAATTGGGACCCTCTTCATTGGGATATATCTACATTATATGGCTGCCTTGACCAAACATTTATCCTGTACTAAACATTA